AAGACTTGAAAAATGCAATAAAAGTATAGGATGAAAGGTTGCAGCTGCTCTGTCCCCCAGAGCTGAGCACAGGGGTCACTGTGGAGTCTGAGTCTCATCCATGTTTCCATTAGCAGTCTGCGTGATGGGACATGAGCTGCTTAGGACATTTGCGGATGTCAACAGATTGGGAGAGATGCAGAAGGGCTGGATGACAGGCTGAGATTTTAAAGTGGGCTTGGTGAACAGGAGGAATGGGCTGACAGAAAGGATGCTGTTGCCTGGGGACTCGAGGAAGGTGTTTGGTGGGAGGGGATCACCAACAGCACAGGTGTGGGATGGAGCATGAACTGAGTGGGTCCTGCCCCTGCAAGGCAGAGAGACTGAGGGAGGGCTGTGCCTCTGGGGCTGGGGGCTGGTTGAGGGGAATGGGGCTGGTAGAGGGGACCTGCGTGGGCAAGGGAGCAGCCTGGTCTCTGCACTGTGGTGGTTGGGGCAGGCAGGGATGGGGTTCATCTGCAGCAAGAGGGGTTCAGATCAGAGTTTTGGAAATGGTTCTTGAGGCAGGAGCAGTGACATGCTAGAATAGGGCACAGGGGAGTGTCAGTCCCCATTGCTGAAGGAGCCGTTTATACATCTGTCAGGATTGATGGAGGGCTGTAGAGATACTGCTGTGGGGTACATGACCTTGCAGCCTTCATTTCTCTGCTTCCCTGATTATTATCTGGCACTCTGGCTCCAGCTGGGGTCAGGGCTCTGGGATGAGGGCTACTGAGCCTCTGGGAGGGGAGCCATGTCCCTGGGGTCCAGTGCTCTGAGCCAAGGGCAGGAACGGGAAGGTGAGGGGAACCATGGAGGGAGGGATGTATCGTGTGAACGATGCAGCTGCTGGCCTCGCAGGCTACCGGGGCACCAGTGGCTCTCAAAGCGGGGATGGCAGGAGCGCGGCTGGCTGCAGGCGTTGCTGGCACAGACCCCTTCTCTGCCACCCCCAGCGGTCACTGCCTGGGTGCTGTGGGTACTCACTCTGTGCTGGCACTGACGGGGTCGGGACACATTTCTGCTTGTGGGTGCAAATGCAGGGTTTTGTCTCTCAGACTTTCCCTCTGCCTTCTTAAAAGCAGGAGTCTGGGGAGCACAGCAGTTAGGATTTCTGCCTCGATGGGAGAGCAGAGCTGAGCTGAGCACAAGGACAGAAGTCATGCGTGTGCCAAATAGTTCATGCTTTGCAATGAGTGTGGATAGTGGGATTGCTCTGTCTGCTCCTTCCCTTTCCCGCTACTGATAAATCAGTGCCCAGGGAAATATCACTCATGTTGGCTGTATTTAATAAATTCCCTCTCAGCATTTGCACTCTCTGAGGTTGTTACTGAGTTAGCGTAGCTCAAACCCTGCAAAGGGAAAAGACGCATCAGACCCCCCGGGAATGGAATAAGCCATCCAAAGCTAGAAACCAAATATAAACCCAGACTATGCAAATCCAGTCTAATGAACCCTGCTGCAGCACAGACATCCCATCTGGGAGTGGGATGATCCACAAGCAATGTAGCAAAGGGACTGCTTGTTTTAATGACTTTCCTCTTCCCAGGGATGAATGGGAGGGGGGTTTCTGAAATTGAAGGTTGCAAATGAAAATTTGCTGCCTTTCCAGCAGCAGTGTGAGATTTGGGGTGCTGGGGGGCAGAGGAGAGCATCCTGAATGAATGTGAGGATGCTTTCTGGCATTAAACCCTATAGATTAATGGGGAAAGAGCATGCCCTGCATTTTCGCTTTCAAATCAGCGTCCGGAAATGCAACCAATCTGCCAGGCACCTCCCCAGACACATCAGTCCTTATCGAAGCTCTGCTGCGTGGGGCAGGGCAGGGTGTTTCGCTTCACTAGGAAAGGGCACGGAGGCAGCGGGTGAGCAGCTGAGCAGCAGGGATCCGGCTTTCTGGGCACAGCAGACTGTAATTTATCTCCATGAGGAACTGAAGGGGATTTAGAGGGGAAAAAAGGCACAAAGTTAAATAGCAGTGTTGCCTCGGCATCCTTACAAATAAGCTTTACCTGCTGTTCATTCCCATCTTGGTTGCAAAGGCCATCATTTACCCGGACAAAGGCAAGGGGGGATGCTGAACACAGTTGTCAGGGAGCACGCAGGGCCAGTCCCCGAGAGAGTGGGGCTGTGAAGGGGCTCTGGGACGCTGCCCCGCTCAGGGACGGCCACCAGCCCCGATGCTGGGTTCTGGAACACCCCGAGGATGTTCAACGAGCATGCGGGGAGCGGAGGCTTGGGTGGGCTGGGTGGGCAGCCTGTCCCTGGCACTGCCCCAGGACAGTGCATCCTGCCCATGCCTCTTTGTGCTCAGGCTGCTCTATCCCAGAAGCTGCCTGGGAGAGAGTGCAGAGCCTGGTTTTGACACGTGGAAGGACTGGCTGTGTCCAGTCCATGGCTCTTTGGTGTTTCTGCATGTCTCCACGCTGCTTGGCTGCGCTCTGCCTCTGGCTGAGGCTTTGGGGTACCGGTGCTCTGAGGACCCAGAGGTGTCCAAGCCTGCCTTGGACTTTGCAGGCTGAGGTGTGAGTCTTGGCTTTCAGATTGTGCAGTTTTAAAATCAAGCCTCTCTGCTCTGTCTGTCTGCAGTACCAGGGATTTCCTACGTTCCGTTTACACATTGCAGCCAGAGTGATGTTAGGTATGTTTAAAAGAAGGTGACATGGGAGTCCTGCGGGGGTCTGTCCCTTGCCAGGAGCTCGGATGGGTGCTATTACCTCCAGCACGGCTCTGCGGAGCTTACAGGCAACCTGCTTTGGCAAGGACCTTTAGGACACTTGGAGAAAACCACCCCTGAAGCTGGGGTTTCTCCCAGCCCTTAGCTGACCTCAAGGCTGTGGTCCATCAGTAGGTGGGCATACATCTGCCACTCCACCTGTGGTGACAGACGTCCCTAAAACTCATGACCTATCCCAGTGCCTCATACCTGGGACTTAGAGCCTGGCTGTGGGTTTTGCTCCCCGGGAGAAGGGCAGGACTGAGCCCCGCAGGGTGCAACCTTGCGGGTTGGCGCCCCATCCCCGGGAGCCAGATACGCACGCCGTGTGCTGGCCGTGCTGGGCGAGCCGTGGGGCTGCAGAGCCCGAGCGTGGGTTTCAGTGTAATCGCCGGGGCTGAGGAACCTCTATTCATTCTCCACTTGCATTCATCTGTGTCCTAGTAACGTGCTCTCCCCACCTCCTTCCCAACACAGGCACACACGGCTGGATAATGGCAGGAGCCTGGCAATCTCGGGCGCTGAATAGCGGTGTAATTACGAGGCTATAATGGCGAGCTGGAACTCATTAGCCATTATCAGCCGTTTCAGCAGGACAATGGCAGCACCCCGGGGTGCGGCTGCGCTGGCTGTACCCGGCGGCCCTACACGCTGCTGGGCGGCTCAGAGGCCAGCCTGCCGCTGACCTCGGCCCTCGCACGGCCCCAGGGATGGGTGGAGGGAGACTTTGGCTCTGGATGGGAATGATGGACTTTGTATTCAGCCCTTCGTGTGATGTGGAGTATTCCTGCTCCCCAGTCCCGCTGCCGGGCATGGGGAGTTATCGAGCCGTGGGTGCTGGGGTCCTGCCCAGGCACCGCAGCCTGCACCGGGTGCAGCCTTCCTGCATCTCCACTGCCCTGGCTCCAGCAACTCATCCTTCCCTCAGCTGCTTCCCCCTCCTGGAGTTTGTTTCCCCTTTATTCCTGTGTCTGTATTCAGTGTAGGCAGTGGGTCTCCAGCGTGGGAGCTCTCCCCAGACCATGCGTTCGCACGGGCATCCTCTGTTCCCAGTGCATGCTGTGGGCAGGTTGGCCTCACGGCAAGGAGCAAACACTGCTGTGCTCTGTGTTGCCTATTGGGGAGGCTCTCTCCTGCTGTGGGATACTGTACAGGGACCCTCAGCTTTACAGGCTGTAGGTCCCAGGACTGACGGTCCCCCTCTCCCTACAGTGCTCACAGTCTGTAATGTGGAAAAGCACTGCAAAGCTGAGACTGTGAGGTGCAAATCTCTGCAGCTCCCAGCGCGGTATATTTTAAAGCAGAATAATGCTAGCAGGGGCACGCTGGAGAATGTGGTGGGGAAGAGCCGCGGAGGTGTAGCTGGCAGGCTGGTTGCAGGGCCCCTGCTATGTGTGGGTCCAGCAGTGGGGCACACCTTGCCCAGATGCTGAGCAGAGCCTGGGCAGGACAGCAGCCATGTGATGGGTGTAGGCACCCCAGGGGCGGCCCTGTCCCCTTATTTCCACCAGTGGGGTGAGCAAGCCGGGACAGCATCTCCCTTCTGGCTGGAGTGCCTGGCCCTGCGCTCACCCAGGGCTTTTGCCTGAGAGAGCAATGCCAGGAGAAGCAGCTTGTCTTGTGCAAGCATCTCTTGGGAGGTGAAATTTGAAGTGTGACTTATTCTCCGGGCAGAAGGTGTGAGATGGCTGCACACTGAACCAGTCATGATGCATGTGGATGACCTCCAGCTGGGTATTTGGAGGGATCCTCCTTTTCTGGGGGGCAGTTGTTTGCTTTCTTATTACCTCTGCCCCCTCTAAGCCACTCTGAGTGTTTGGGATGACCCTACCAGGTGTTTGCTGCATTTCCAGAGTGGAGTGATGTGATATGCCACCAGCCAGGCAGTTGCTGGCATTACTGGGCTGCTTATTGCATTGCTGAGGGCTCTGGGGCTTCTGTCCCAAGGAGGGCATCCAGCATGGAGACAGGGAGATGGAGAAGCCAGGCAGCACCTGCTTCTTGCTGCTTTATGATCCAGGGAAGATGCCAGCTTACTCCTGGCCAGCCATATTTCTGTGTGCCCAGTGCTGCTGGCTGTTGAGGATGAGGGTCCTCTCTGGAACCAGTGGCCAGCCCTGCTGTTCCTGGCAAGGGGCACAGAAATTCAGCAGCCACTGCTATCCTTTGGGCCCTCTCTGCCCTTTTTGGGGAGCTACTGGGGAGCCCCAGTGTCTGGTGTCCTTCTCAGTGCTTCCTGGCTGATCTCTGCCTCTTCTCTCTGCAGGGAGCTCAATGGCAACAACATCACGCGGATCAACAAGAATGACTTCGCTGGGCTGAAGCAACTCCGCGTCCTGTGAGTTCCTATCAAGGGCCCAGCTGCCCTGACTTTGGTGGGCACCATGCTTGGCTTGTGGCCCCTCCTGGGGCTGGTAGAGATGATGCTGAGCCCTTTGCTGGGCATCTGCCAGTGGGGCTGGAGGGCATCTTCATTGGGTTGAGCATGGTTGGTCTCGGCTTCCAGTCGAGATGGCGTGGGGAGAAAGAGGCCAGATTGTGTTGAGGGGATGTTGGGGATAAGGTGGCCCCGGGTCCAGAAGAGCATTGGGGACATCACTGGTGAGATGGGGGTGCTGGAGACCATCTTTCCAGAAAACTGACCCCTTCTCTCCACAGGCAGCTGATGGAAAACCAGATCAGCACGGTGGAGCGTGGGGCATTTGATGACATGAAGGAGCTGGAGCGGCTGTGAGTGCCTGGGTGCAGAGACGGGTTGGTGAGGGGCTGTTGGGTTTAGTCACAGAGATCATCCTTTCTTTTTTGCCTTAAACCATAATGTATTGGTGCTGCCTGACTTCAAACAGCTTCTCTGCTGCACAGCGCTAGTGTGGGAAGCAAACCTGTTTCTGTAGATCTTAAAGTCCTTTCTGATGCTTTTGAGGTGAGGGGCAGGTTAAACACAAATCACTCTCACTGTTATCAGCTGTGTCCTGTGTGTTAGTGAGGAAGCCATAAGTTCCAGTCCAGTACTCAGTAAAATAGCTCAGCACTTTAGAAATCCTGAGCTGCTCGAGCAAGTATGAGGAGCTGAGCTAGCAGCAGGTTAACAGAGCAGTTAAGCAGCAATCAGCAGTTAACAGCTTGGAGTCCTGTCTGCCTGTAATTACAATATTGTAAGTCTGTTAATGCTCCATTGGTTGCCCGTGCCTGGGAGTGCCATGAGCAGGACAGGGGTGTCCTTGCCAGGTGGGATGCTCTGCTCTAATGGCCCTTCTGAGTGAGCCAAAGCACCTCAGCTGTGCCCAGAGCCACCAGCTGGGTTGCAGGCGGGGTGACTGCTTTGCCTCCCAAAAGCCTGACCCTTTCCTCTTTCCCTACAGACGGCTGAACCGCAACCAGCTGCATACCCTGCCTGAGCTCCTCTTCCAGAACAATCAGGCACTGTCGCGGCTGTAAGTACCCTCTGTGCCTGGCTGTTGTGCAGGCTCGCTTGCGGGGCTGCTTGGGGCTGCCGTGGGGTTCAGAGTGGCCCTGATGTCCTGGGAGGGTGCTGGTTCTGGAGGGTTGTGCTGGTGGTTACTGGTGTCTTGTCCCAGGGAGTGCCCAGTGTGTGACAGGGGAATGCAGCCTGTTTCAGAGCAACCCAAGCATGAAGCGTGGCAGGGAATTGGCTTCTCCTTCCAGAAGACCTGAGATGAGTGCTATTAAAGACTGAGTTGAACATCCTTGCGGTGCATGGGGACGTGGAAGGAGGTGCTGGCAGTTTGGGCTGGGGCTGGCATTGTTGAGCTGGGCTGCACCTGCATGGTGTCAGTTGCAGAGGTGCTGCAAGCCCCACAGCCTCCTCTCTGTGTGCTGATCACGGGGCCTGGAGCGGGGTGCCCTTACCACTAAGCTGGGTTGTCATGAAGGACAGGCAAAAGAGGATGTCTGCAGTGGGTGGCATCCTGACCAGAGACCTCCACAGGGCCTGGAGAGCCCCGTGGCCCCACTTCAGAACTGCCTTTCTGCTGGTGTCTGGGGCAGCCTGGGGAGGGAGGGAGAAGCTCTGCCTGGGGCAGATCCAGCCTCTTGCACCTGCTGCCCACTCCCTGCACAGCCCTGTCTGCTTCCATCCCTGCCTATCCCTCTGCACCTGCAGAAACACTCCCAGGGATCATCTCCTGTTGTGCAAGCCCCAGCTCTGCAGTCCCCTCTTCCCTCCGTGCAGCAGCAGGCTGCCAGGGAAGAGCTGCTGGGGTTTTGATAAATATTCTCTTTTCCATATTGGCTTTCCCTTGCCTGGGGCTGCTTTGCTCAGGCAATGGTGCTGTCAGCAGTGCCAACATTGTTCAAACTGCAGGAAATCCTCTTAAGAAAGCGTTTACCGGCTCTCAGCTCTGTCAGGCACCGTGTACATTGGGAAGGGGGCTGTGAGGAGGAGAGGGTGCATGCCAAACTGGGGTTGGGTGCTCTCCATCACTCAGAGAAGATGCTTACACCCTGTGGCTGATTTGCAGTGCGTAGAAGCAGGGCAGTTGTGGCTGGGACGTGAGCTCTCTGCTTACTGTATCTCATGTCTCTGTTCCTCAGCTGTGAAATGAGGATGCCAGGTCCCTGCCAGGGCAGGGTAGGAGTGGATGAAATAACTGAATGGGCTGAAACGTTGCCAGGACAGGCATGGTCATGTCAGGGCCAGGCAGCCCTGCCCACACAGGCAGGCTGCAGCTGAGCCGTTTTGCTCGGTGACGATGCCGATTTCTTCTGACAGTGCCAGCGAGTCAGTCCTGAAGTCCAGCCGGAGGCGGAGTAATGAAGGGTTAAAACACCGTGTGGGTTGCCAGCGTGGGATGTGTGAAATGGTGGATGGGAGCCAAAGATGGGCCTAGGTAATGGCAGCTGATAGCACAGGCGTTCAATTAATTATCAAATGGCATTTGTTGAGCTCAGCTGTGCAGTATCGTGGCGCCAGCAAGGGCCCATCCTCCTCCAGCCTCACATTGCATAACAAAAACACAGTCAAGAAAATTATTTTACAAACATTAATGTTTCCGTTTTAATCTTCTCTAGATTTTAATACCAGGCTCTTACAAAAAGTAAACTCCAACAATTCATCGGGGAGATGCAGAAGGGCAGCCCCTTGGGCAGGCTGGGCGGTGTGCTGTGCCGTGACCCCGGGCTTGCGTGGAGCTGGGGCTGTGCCGCGGTGTGCCCGGGCTGTACACACCGCTGTGGGGGAGGGAGGATATGCAAGATGCTCCTTGCAGCCACCCCATGTGCAGGTGCGTCTCAGTCTCTGCCTGTTGATTTTGCTGTTGTTTCCCACCGTATGGTGGTTGTTTCAGACTTGTTTCGGATCTATTCCCTCCCGCCCTGCCTTGAAGCTGTTTTCTGGCCATCTCTGCTGTGACAGCCACTGCCTGGACACCAGCACCCGGAGCGTTTCTTGTGAAGTCTGGGGCTTTGTCTTGGGCAACTTTGACGTACGCTCAGAACAGAGGGTCCTTGCGACGAGCTGTGGGAATGGGGACAGGGGACACACTGAGTGGCCTGCCATCCTTCTTTGAAGCATGTTACCCCACGTGATAGCTGCATTAGTGAGGGCTGAGGTGCAGTGCTGGGGTCTGCCCAGGGAGCACATCAGGAGCTGCTGCCCAGGCAGAGCCTCGGGTGTTGCATTTGGGGAGCAAAGCCATATGCACTGGAGGGCCTGCTGTTCCCTCTCCTCACAGCTGACCCATTGCTGAGGTGCTCAAGGATGGGTTGGGGGGGGGGATGGCAGGGCAGGCGGTGCCCAAGGCAGAACCTGTCTAGACACACCGTCATGCTGGCTTAGCAGGAGGCGGGATCTGGACCAGTGCTAGTCCGGCCAGTGCAGGAGGTCATAAGGACGCTCTTAAATTGCCGCAAACCTGGCTCAGGCTACGGGGATATGAGTCAGTGTGGAGCAGGTTTAAGCTAAATTGAAATCAGGTCGCCTTGAACTGAAATCGGAGCCTCTCTGCCAGACTTTGTGCTTATTTAACTGCTGAAATGGATCTGGGGTAACCCCAACGCTCAGTGCCCCCTCCCTGCCCTGGAGGCAGGCTGGGACCCATGCTGGTGAGGATGGGAAAAGAGGGTTTTACCAGCATCGTGCTCTTGGAGATCCTGATCTCCAGATGATTTCCAGTGAACAGTGCCTGTGTAGGCTTCCCCTTGCCCTGCCTGCTGTGAGCACCCATGGTATGCTCCTTGAGCTCCTGGCATACCTGCTAGGGCCTCGTGTCCTAGCAGGGCTCTCGCCCTGTGATGGAGGTCTTGAAATAGCAGAAACTGGCTGAATGAGTCAGGCAGAGATCTGTTTAGTTGGGAAATGAGGCTGCCAGGTCTGGCAGGTGGGTGGCAGCTGAAGCAGAAAGGCAAGGGTGGATGCAAGAACCAGTGTAGATTGCTTAGATGGGTACCTGGGTGCTGGTCTGGATCCTCCAGCCTCTTCTAGCCTTAGTCTTGATGTATCTTCAGCACACATCAGTAACATGACAGCAGGTTAAGTGGGGTATGTGATACCCATAGAGTGGTTTTCGGCTGTACCTCAAGCCTCATGGAAATACCTGACAAGAACAGAGAGGAGGACCTTGGGCTCAGGTCAGGATGGAGAACTGTTTTTCTGCCTCCTGGGTCTGAGTGTCAAAGCCTAATCCACGTTGGTGGTGCTTTGTGGTCTCCTAGCCTGGCTTGAGCTGCAATTAGTTACTTAGATCTTGGCTATAAAGAGCATTTGTGCACTGGGATAATGGAAAAGGTTGGAGTTAAACCTGATCCGTCAGGGCTTAAATAAACTGGAGAATGGCAGGAAAAGGCCAGTGGAAAGCAAACCTCAAATGAGGGCATGGGGGAGGTGAGATGCCTGGAGAGGAATGTTTTTTTCTCGGTATTTGGGAATATTGAGCTGACATCTGCCTGGAGCCCGTCTTGGTCTGAGATGAGGGGTGGGGGGGGTGTCTGAGCCAACAGCAATGCTGGGAAGCAGGAGGACTCTGCACGGCCTCCCTTATTTGTATCCACCGCAATGAGTGGATAACTCATTAAGCCATCCCAGTGGCTGGAAATGGTGCTGATCTGAGGTTTCACTGGAGAGCGCCTGACCCCAGTGACCCCATCTCAAACTGGGTTTAATTAAACTGTCAGCACTGGACGGAAGAACAAAGCGTAATGGTCTTGGGGGGGGCTGGGGTCCCCCCCACAGCTTGCTGGGGAAGCGCATGTCTCATGTGAGGTGGAGAGCTGATAAAAAATGGATCTTTCTTTCCATCAAGGATTACCCAGGCAAGAAGGTGACCTCTGCTATTGCACTGCCCAGTGCTGGTCCCCTGGTGCCCTGCAGCCATGCACATCTTGACTTAGCATGGGTGCAGCCCTGCAGCATGCCAGGAGCCAGGGGGGTGCTGGCAAATCGCGCTTCATCATCTCTCCCAAGCTTGTTTTTCTTGCTTGGGAGGAGGGACCCAAGCCCTTGCATTTCTGTCTGCACCCTTGGGAGGCATAGGGGAAGGATGGGAGAGGAGTTTTGTAGCCCTGTCTCCCCTCTCTCTCTCCACCTTCCCTTAAGACCTCCTTCTGAAGCCATTTTTAAGCCCCTCTGGGGGTGCTGGGTGGGGGATGCGAGGAGGAGAGAGGAGGCTGGTGTGGCCATAGCAGCAGGGTGAGAACAGAAACGCTGCGGGCGCATTGTCAGGGAGGCAAAGACGTGGGCTGTCGAAATGTGCTAAAGGCAGCCAGGATGACTATAAATAAATGGTTTTCTCCAAGGGAAAGCTGAGCTGAGCTGGTGCGAGGGAAGAGAGGAGCTGTGGGGAGCCCTGGGGAGACACTCTTGCGGGGGAGAAGGGGTCCTGGCTGGATGTATCCCCCTGGGAGTGGCCACTCAGAGGTTTTCCTCACTGAGAGCAGCAGCAGCTGCTCCATGCTCGACAGAGTGGGACCTGAGAGAGGATGAGCAGGGAGTACAGGAAAAAGGTCCTGCCTCCAGAAAGATGAAGATTTAGGACATGGGCCATGGCCCATCGGTTCCTGTCTGATCTGCGCCAGCAAAAATGGTGGAGGAGACAGTGCCATGTCTGAGCTGGCAGCCAAGCCCAGGGGGAAGGGCTGCCGGTGCTGCTCTCTGTCTGTAAGGGCAGGGGCTCCCTGGAAACAGCATTAACATCTCAATCAGGACCGATGGCTTTCTGAGACAGAGCCGGGACTTAGGAGATGCTGTAGGGGCTGGGGAAATTGTCATGCTCCTGTGAGAGTCCTCCTGGGGCCAGAGCCTGTGGAGGAATAGCAATGCTCTACACTTATATCCACCTGGGAGCTGAGACAGAGACCAGTGGCTGATCCAGACTCACTCTGGACCAGGGGTATTTAAAGATCTGGGTGATGAGGGAATTTTGAGCTGAGTTGCTGAGAACACCACAGCTGGGTGTGCTGCCTGGGCAGGAGAGGTTAC